AGAAGAATTTGAATTGTGGTGTTGGAGGAGAATACTAAAAGTGCCATGGACTGCCAAAAGAACCAATAAATCTGTTTTGGAGGAAGTGCAGCCAGAGTGCTCCTTGGAGGCTAAGATGGCTAAACTTTGTCTCTCAATAATTGGACATGTTGTCAGGAGTGAACGGTCGCTGGAGAAGGATGTCATGCTGGGTAAGATGGAGGGTCAGAGAAAAAGAGGAAGACCCCCAACCAGATGGATTGGCCAGGTGGCATCATTGATGGCGTCAAGTGTGGCAGCGGTAGTGAGGTTGGCCCAGGATTGGACATTGTTTCGTTCTGCTGTGCTATGAGTCCGTTCTGACTCAATGTCACCTGACAATAACAACAACAACAGAAATTGTGCTTTTGAAATACTACATATAGAGGGAGTTGAAAACACTACATACATGTTCAGAGTTTTTACAATGTAATATTCCAATATCTTAATGTCAACAGCAAAGAACACCCAGAATAATAAGTAACTGGAAATGATTGACCATTCAAAAGAAGACAGAGAGAAACCATCACTATGGATGGCTAGAAATGGACAGACTGTTGCTCTTATTGCTAGCTCCCATCAAATTGGAGTCCAGCTCATGGGGAGCCCATGAACACCTTAAGAAAATACTCCGCCATCTCCATAATTCATTAGGAATTTGACTGTTATAATACATATGATCTTCATGATCTGATTTTTGGAAGTAGTTTTTCAAGCCTTCCTTCTTAGTCTGCCTGTGTCTGGAAGCTGAGAAAACCTACACAGGGTCGCTATGGGCCAGACCTGACTTGTCGGCACTTAACAATAACAACAACATACATATACATATATATAAAAGAGAAGTTAATTAAAATGATTCATTGCAAAAAATTAATTGAACACATATAATGTTAGTATTGGAGGAAATTAGGCACAAATATTGTCGGTTGTTAAGTGACATGGAGTCAAGTCCAACTCATAGCAACCCTGTTTAGGATTTCCAAGGAGTGGCTGGTGAGTTTAAACTGATGACTGAAGTTTAAACCGACCTTTTGGTCCGGTGCATTATCCCACAGCACCACACCCAAACCTATATAAAAGTACCAGATGTAAGTCTTTATTTATCAGTAATCACCTTAAATACAGACATTAAATTATCCAATCAAAAGGCATAGAGTGGCACAATGTATTAAAAAACAAAAGATCTATCTATATATTATCTACAAATGACACATTATAGACCCAAGGACACAATTATTTGAAAGTAAAAGAATGGAAAATATAATACATTTAAATAGTAACCAAAAAGATATAGAATGTGTACTTGGGAACAGAAACTTTAAGTCAAAATCTGTTATAAGAGAAAATGGGCATTATGCAATGACAAAAGGCTCAGCCCTTCAAGAAGACATAGCAATTTTAATATATATGTATGCACTAAGGTCAGTGTTCCAAAATATATAAATTAATCACGGACAGAATTGAAGGGAGAAATAATTCAACACAATTTTCAATAATCAACAGAACTTCTAGAAACAAGATCAGTAAAGAAACAGTTTTGAATCCAACCAATGATCCTTAAAATATTCACAACTTTTGATTTTTTCATTTTACGTCTAGGAAAGTTTTAAACTATTATGTAATGAACTCAATTTTCTGCAATATTCGCTTTACTTTGATTCCTCTTATTTATGCTTTCTGTATGATCTCAAATTACATTTGATTCTCTAATGTTCTAAAACCTTAGATTAGCAATAACTGCCTGCGTTTGAGTCAGATATAATGAGCTACACACTAAGTCCCTATATGCATCCGGATTTTTTTACTTAATATTATGTTTCTTAGATTCATGTATGCTTTCATGTAATTGCAATTTACACATTCTAACCAATGCAAGATGTTGTAGTTTTGAAGTGCCATCAAGTCAGTTCCAACTCATAGTGAGCCTGAATGGGGTTTCCTAGAAGTGTTTGGAAATGTGTAGGTCAGCAAAAATGAGGAAGCCCCCCCAATGAAGTGGATTGGCACAGTGGCAGCAGCAATGGGCTCCAGCATAGCAGCAATTGTGAGATTGGCACAGGACCCGGCAGTGTTTTGTTCAGTTGTGCTTAAGGCCACTGTGAGTTTGTGCTAACTCAACGGCAACAACAACACCATGACACTTCTATTTGTTATACTTTTGAATCTTTCATCTTCAATATTTAACTATAAATGTATGTATGATTTGTCTGGTGAATGATGTGTTATGGGCATTTGTGATTGTTTGTGTGAATGATGTGTCTTATATCCAACTAGTCAAATAACTGAACCATTAAATGATTTATCAATCCTTCATCCACTAACCTTTAGTGAAATCTGTGTACTCTCCTGAATTATCATTGTTGTTGTTTAATACCATTGAGTCGGTTCTGACTCATGGCAACTCTGTATAGGGTTTCAGAGGAACAGCTGGTGGGTATACATCACTGTCCTATGGTTAGCAGTCCAGTGCTTATCCTGCAGAACCACACCAGAACTCTGTAAAAATATCATAAATTATATAAATTTTTATTTGTTCTACTTATTTCCACATTTGCATAGATTTTAAAACCAAATAAAATTTAAGAAAAGAAAGAAATTTTTATTCTTTTTAAGGTTTAAGTTCTTCCAAATTTAATTATAGGTAAAGAAATATGTAAGTGCATGCTACAGAAAAATTCCACAAAACATTTGTCCTTCATGCTGCAAGCTTTCTATCTCTTCCATTACTGTGCAGGCTGCCACTGTACCTATTGACCTTTCAACCCATTTTAATGTTTTGAAATTCAAAGAATTCATCTAACTCATGTCAATTATCTAAATGTACTCATATTTGAAATTAATGATTCTTAAATTCATGAAATTTTATAATTAAGAATTACATGAGAAACACAAAATAATATGCATATTAAAGTATGTGTTTTTGACCAGTAGGCTTTTATATGATTATCTTGGACTGTGATCAGATTTCTACTCCTCATTTATATCCCAGATGAACTTCAAGGGGCAGTCTTTCATCTTCCTTTGAAAGATCCTGTCAAATCTTTCACTTTGATCCACCGTCATGTGATTTTTCCAGTCTCCTATTGTACCTAGTGGAACAAGCACATGAACAGCAGCTAGTTGAAGAAGTAGTACTATAAAGGAAAAAAGGTTATTCCAAAACACACTTTAATCTCTTCTGTAAGCCAAGTTTAATATCTGTGTTAGTTCTCCATAGGGTTAGACATCTCATCTTTGCTTCTACAAGAATGAATAAAGAAGCTAATTTAGGAAAACAGTAATTATCTTTATAGTCCAATCCTCTATCTGCTAGACTTCCACCAACACTATCATTAAATTCTACTGTTTCTTTAGAAGACAAAGAAACTCTACAATATATGATTATATATTTTTAAATTTTTATCAAGCACCATAGTACATCATATAATTCTTAAGACAAACCTGCAATGCCGATACTTCTTCATCCTTATCATTGAAAACACTGAAGCTTAAAGGCTTGGAAGGAATGAAGCCAAGGTTACAGAAGACGGGCTCAAGTGTCTGGCTCTATACTAATGCAGTTAGGGTCCCTGAGACACTCTTCAAGGTCATGTACAGTTAGAACCTTAGGTGGTCGCTAGAAACCCAAATGCCAGCATCTCTTTGTAGAGGCACATTGGAAATATCCTTAATTCTCTTAGGGGCTAAACACACAAGGGAACACTCAGCACTTTTGCTGCTGTAAACCACTGTGCATCACCTTTGCGTAAGAAGCTCCCCTGATCTGTTCTTGTCCCAATTTCCTCTTTTATGATTTGCTCATAATTTGCTTTAGTATCAGACTTCATGTTCTTAAAAGTAGCCTGTCTGACAACAGCATCCAAAGTTTCCTCACTCAGTTCTTTCTCAAGAAAATTGCAGATTTTAAGCACAGAACTTCTGAGATCCTAAAAAAAAAAAAAAAAAAAAAAAGTGGGTATGAGAACCAGTCAGCTTCTAAATTAGTTACAGAATAACATCACATTTTGAAAACACGATGGTGCTTGAGCTCATTCTACGCCTAACATTTGACAGTGGCATGCTGCTCTTGTTAAGTGTCATTGAGTCGGTTCAGACTAGTAGAGACTCTGCATTGGGTTTCCGAGGAGTGGCTGGTGGGTTTCAACCATCAATCTTGGGTTAGCAGTCCAGTGCTTAGCATACAGCACCGCACCAGAGCATAGACATATTACTTGCTTATTATTTCTTCAAAAATGAGTTTTTTGGTCATCAGCTTTTTAAAGAGCTTTATATTGTTTGAATTTATAAAGATAGGTAATTTTTATTCATTCACTAAACCATTTTTAAGAACTTAAATATTTCAGAAACTGTGCGGGAAATTTTTTTTTAAAACAATAAAATAATATGTGTATTTATTGAGAGTACAGTTTCATCAAAAAATTAACCAAGAACATACCTGAAATAAAATTGGGGCAGGGAACCTGAAACAGAAATCCAATGTACAATGGTAATAAAGAGTTAGAATCTTGGAAGAATTAGAACAAGTTTCAAAAGAGACAACTTTCTTCTCAATCAAGAAGAAAGAATAAGAGATGTCCCTGAAAAAGTGGGAAATTTGACTTCTGATTGAAAAACTAGTCCCAGATTACAGAGATGTATATTAAAAAATGGGATCCTAGCTGTGATAACGTAGTGGTTTTGAATAGGGCTGCGAACCTCAAGGTCAGCAATTTGAAACTACGAGTTGTTCTCATTGGGAGAAAGATGAGGCTTTCTGCTCCCGTAGAGATTACAGCCTTGGAAACCCTGTACAGGGTCTCTATGAGTTGGAACAGACTCCACAGCACACAGCAACATCAACAGTTATCAAATGGAGTCCTGGGGTGGCACTGTGGGTTAATGCTCTTGACTGCAATGTTGAACCACAAGGTTGGTGGTTCAAGCTCACCAGCTGCCCCTTGGAAATCCTATGCTGGGTTGCAATGGGTCGGAACCAATTCAGCAGCATTTGATAACAACAACAAAGTTATCAAATAAGGACCCTGGTAGCATAGTGGATTATAATGGGCTGGGGCTGCTAATCACAAGGTCAGCAGTTCAAATCTACCAACAGCTCAGAAAGAGAACAATGAGGCTTCCTGCCTGGGTAAAGATTTACAACCTTGGAAACCAAACATAAACAGGGTCACGATGAGTCTAAAGAACTCCATGGCTGCAGCAGTACAATAGCAGCAGTTACCAAATAGGAGTCCCTGGGTAATGCAAATGCTTAAGTGCTCAACTAGAAGCTCAAACATTGCCATTGCAAAAGCTCACAGCCTTAAAAATGCTATGGAACACCTCTACTCTGCACACACGGGGTCTCTATGAGTCAGAATTTACTCTGAAGTCAATCAAATTATGTCTGCAAATGGTTTTTATATATAATGGCTAACACAGAATCAAGATAGCCATGAACTTCATGAAGAGAGAAAGCAATATAGTCAAGGACCAGAAGTAAAAATAAACAAACAGAACCATAGATGCTACAGATACTTGAATGATCAAAAATAACTTTTAACAACTATTGTTATTCTGGAGACTCCAGGTGTGGCATTGTAGGATCTGTAGGGTCAGCACTGAACTGTAAACCACAAAGTCAGCAGTTCAAACCCACCAGCTTCTCCTTGCAAATCCTATATAGAGTTTGTATGAGTCAGAACCAACTTGACAGTGCTGTACAAAGTCTCTATGAGTTGGAACTGACTTGATGGCACTTAATAACAACAACAATGATTATTATATTTAAGGCAAGAAAAATTGCACTAATTACAAAAAAAATAACAGCAGATTTAAAATATATTTTCACTCACAAATAGAAATTAAGATCTTGGTAAATGTATTAATTGCAGATTGTTGTTGTTATGTGCCATCAAGTCAGTTCCAACTCATAGAGACCCTGCGTAGAACATCTGAGGCTTTAAAGCTTCATTCTCCTGTGGAGTGACTGGTGGGCTCAAATGGCAGAACTGGTGTTTCACAGTCCAGTGCTTACCACATGAAGCCACTGCATCCCCAGTAACAGATTACAATAGAGAAGTGTGAACTAAGAGCTAGGGACAGATGGAAAAATCTGTAATGAAACTTCATGGGAGATAAAATAGGGGTCAGTTTTCTCTAAAAAAAAATTCCTTTTTCTAAAACACTTTGTAAGACACTTGTGCAGGTCTTTCTAAGGGGCTTCACCTAGAATGGTTGTTCAGCACATGAATCATTTCTTATTGCTTCCACCTATCCCTATCCACAATTCCCAGTCACATTGATTGTCGTACAATAAACTCACATAAAAGAGAGCCAGCATTTCACCTCTATTCCAACTACTGGGCACTTCAGACCAAGACGTGGAGACTGTGTGTGGTCACTTTGAGTAATGTGTATCGCTTCCAATTCAGTGGAAAATATGCAAAATGTCCTCAGATAAGCTTTGTGAACTTTGGGTGTTAGTGATGTGAGTCATTGTGTGTTAAATTATAAACTGACACTTAATTCTAAATATTTTGAATACTTTTTTTTTTACTTGTTGCCTAGTTGGCTCTGACTCAAAGCTACCCTTTGTAAGACAGAACAAAACACCGCCTACAATTGTTACTATATTAGAGCCCCTGTTTGCAGCCACTGTCTCAATCCTTTCATCGAGTGGTGGTGGTAAGTGCCATGAAGTTGGTTCTGTCTCATGGTGACTCTGTATAGGGTTTCTGAGACTCTAAATCTTTGCAGAAGTAGAAAGCCTCATCTTTTTTCCACAGATGACCAGTGAGTTCGAACAGCTGACATTCTGGCTCTTTCTCTTTTTCAGTGACCCTCCAGTTTACCAAGCATGATGTCCTTCTTCAGGGACTGGTTCTTTCTGACAACGTGTCCAAGGTACATGAGATAAGTATTATCATCTTTGCTTCCAACGAGTAATCCAGCTCTTTTCTTCCAAAGCAGATTTGTTTATTTTTCTGACAGTCCATGAAATTTACAATATTCTTTGTCAACTGGTGTCAAATGCAGCAATTCTTCTCTGGTCTTCCTTATGTATTGTTCAATTTTCACATTTACATGAAGTGATTGAAAATAATCATGGCTGGGGTCAGGCTCACTTTAGTCTTCAAAGTGCTGTCTTTACTCTGTAACACTTTAAAAAGCTCTTTTTCAGCAGAAATGCCTAATGCAATGTGTCATTGAACATCCTGACTGCTGTTTCCATGAGTTAATGGTATCCAAGTAAAATGAAATCTCTGATAACTTCCATTTTTTCTTCTTTTATTGTCATGTTATTTATTCATTCATTCAGTTGTAAAGATTTTTGTTTTCTATACACTGAAAATCTGTCTACTGCTAACCACAAGGTTGTCAGTTCAAACCCACCAGTTTGACACAATATAGGGTCACTATAAGTTGGAAACTAGTCTATAGCACTTAACAATAACAGCATTTCCTTGGCTTAGAATAATAATCCACCTCTCTTTCTTTTATGGAGTCATATATGGTGCTGTGGGCTAATGCTCTGGACTGCAATGTAGGTTTGAACCATAATGTCACCAATTCAAGCTCACCAGCTGCTCCTTAGAAACTCTATACAGGGTTGCTACTGCTCAGAACCTGTTCAACACCACTTAACAATAACAACAACTTCCCTTTGTGAACTCATATTATTTATCTTGGAATTCACAAGTAAAATTTTAGAGAAAATGGCCCCATTGCCCTTTACTATACTTTTCTTTAATAACACCTATTGCAGTTTTCCATGATATATGTATACTTGATCAATACCTGTTATAGGGTTTCCACAGAGCAGCTGTTGGGTTTGAACTGTCAACCTTGTGTTTTGCAGTCCAGTGCTGATCCTATAGCACCACACCAAGAGTCCCTAAGTTTTATAAATAATGGGTATGGTCCTCTTTTCCTCATGATTATGTTCCTGTCCCATAGTAGCTATCTGTTACTTTTAAATAAATAAATAATGTCTAATGAGTTGGCATATTAATCAGAAATAAAAAAAAATTATGAACTTCAAATGTGTTTTATTTGTATTACACGGTGTTACCACTGCAAGATTGTCTGAACTGCAAGGTTGGTGGTTCAAGTTCACCAGCTGCTCCTTGGAAACCCCATACAGGGTACCTATGGGTCAGAATCGACTCGTTGACACTCAACAACAACAGCCACTAGCAATTACACTGAAAGTGATCACGTTAGAAGGTCCTGGATAGAGTGATGGAAAATGTGGAAGAAAACTTAAAATTAAAAAACAAAACAAAACAAAAAAAAACTAGCTTTATTAGTCAGAAAGCTACTGGAGAAACCTGAGACAATCGTCTCGACCACCCTTAAGGTCTGGAAAGGAACTCACCTTTGTGGCCCAGTTTTCAGCTAAGCAATAGTTAGGTATACAGGGGGAACAACAATAGTAAAGGTATGATCACCATGCAATGGTCAATTATTAAATATCAAAAGGACAACATTTGCCTATTGAGAAAGTTGATGAGGGATGGGAAGGTGAGTGGAATGGAATAGGAGCCACAGGAAGGAAGCAGGATAACTGTTGTTGATGGAGGAGATTACAATCGTTGAGATGAAACTGTGTATGATATGTCTGTCTAATATAAAACTGAAGATGTCTGTAAACCATCACTCAATTCATAAGAAGAAGTGAAAAAAAAAAAGCATCTTCATGTTGGTTTCAACATTTGAATATGATGTGATTTCAAGTGAAAGCTATATTTCAAGTTGTTGTTGTTAGGTGCTGTCAAGTTTGTTCTGACTTATATTGATTCTATTTCTGATCGTAGGGTTTCTGAGGAGCAGCTGGTGGGTTTGAATTCCCAACCTTGTGGTTCACAGTCCAGTGCTGGTTCACAGCACCACACCAGAAGTCCTAGATTTCAAGTAGCTCTTATAAAAAAGAAAGGAAGGAAGTGCATCATAGGACATGCATTCACTTGTAGCAGTAATTAATCGTATCTAAGGAATGGAGTCCTAGTGTGAAACTATAGGATAAGCACTAGACTGCAAGGCCAGTTTGAGCCAAAAGGTCAGCAGTTCAACCTCATCAGCTGCTTCTTAGAAACCCTATACAGGATCACTATGAGTTAGAACTGACTCTATGGCACTTAACTACAACAACAATCTTAGGGGTGACATCTCATTCCAATATTCCATAGTGTCTACCCTCTTTATTATGTCTGGCGTCACTGGACTCTTGGTTTGTATTGATTGCTGCAAGTGTTTCCATGAGAACATATCAATATAAAAGGCTGAGTATACTGAGAAGAGACCTGGAAGCAAATGCTGAGAAAGACTGCTAACTAAGGGATGGACAGAAAATTAAAATCCCTAAAATCACCTTGAGATCGAAAGAGAACATTGAGAATGTGAGTCACTGGAAAGAAGAGAAGACATAATTTTAAGGAACAAGTAATGTTAATAAAATAATCTTCTCATCTTACCTTCTTCATCTCTTCATACATCATGAACAAAATATTGAAATTATGTCTGTGCTCATACCAACCTCTGATGTGATCAAACCAAAGACTTCCTACAACTGTGGGAGAAATTAACATTGATAAGGTAAAAAAATGCAACACTTTTTAAAAATAATAAACTATATTTTTCTTTTCTGTTTAGCTGTCCTCAGAGAAAAGAGTAAGCCATCTCATACTAGGCATCTGTATTTCCTTTATTGAAAATGGACAGTAACTTGGGAATAACCACATAATTTTTATATGGATTTCCTTTATAAAAAGATATTCTAAGTATGTAGAAAAACACAATACAGAAATAAGAAGGGTAAATATTTAATTTTGAAGATTGTTTTAAGACAAGATGCATCATATTTCTTCCTCTATCCCAAAACACTTGGTTTTATTTATCTTCCATTTCTCTGGGCTAAGATCTCTGCAGTGGGACAGATCTAAGTATAATCTTATAATGAACAGGAGTGCTGATTCTACATCTTAAAACCTTCTTGCACCAATTTATCTCTTTCATTAGTGGAGTGTATCATCTACTACAGCTCCGTGACAGGGCACACAAGCTACACTCTCTGTTACCATGGGGTTGATTCTGACTTATGGGAACTCCATATATGTCAGAGGAGCAGAACTGTGTTCCATAGCGTTTTAAATGGCTATTTTTCCAGGAGCAGATTGGCAAGCCTTTCTTTTAAGGTGCCCTTAAGTAGATTAGACCTCTAAATACTTGTGATCTTTTTGTGATCTGATCAAAATATTTCCTAAAATATATGCCTTTACAATCCTGACACCCTCAAAGTTGTCCTTGTGAGAATTGGGAAGTCATTGGGCATTAGAATAAAATCATATGTAATAGTAAGTATTTATGTGCATTCCACCTTCAATTATCGCCTTTCTTCATGTCAAACTGTTTCTGAACATTACCTTGAAAACACATTGTTTGGTAAATAAATTCAGTTACCTTTTCCATCTAGAAATCTTCTCATGAATTGTTCTATGCTATGAACATCTTCTAAAACAGCCATAAGCTTTGTAAAATGAAAATACGAGATCAAAACATCCTTAGGGTTTCTGTAGATGTAAATAATCTGCAAGTAAAATGAGGAAATAAGTTGAACAATTCCTTGGTTATATTTCCAGATTTTTAAAAATTCTGCATGGTATGTCATTATATTGTTGTTGTTGTTGTTATGTGCCATCGAGTCGGTTCCGACCCATAGCGACCCTGTATAGGGTTTCCGAGGGTGTAAATCTTTACGGGAGTAGAAAGCCTCATCTTTCTCCCACGGAGCAGCTGGTAGTTTCGAACCGCTGACCTTAAGGTTCGCAGCCCGATTCGTAACCACTACGCTACCAGAGCTCCTTATGTCATTATATTACTATGCAATAATTTATTTGCCCAGATTACTATTTATGAAAATTTAGGTGGATTTCGTTTGTTTGTTAGCATAAACAGAGCCACAAGAAATGACTTTATTCACATGGCATTTAATGTTTTTACAAGTGTGTAGGATACATTACTGAAAGTGAAATTATTTACTAGTAAAGGTAGCATATATTTCACATTGGTTTCCATCAATTCCACCAGCAATATGTGATATTTGATATATAGTCAATGTAGCACTGGGATAAGCCAGGAACAGGAAAACTACTCAACAGATGATACTGAAGCAAAGGATTATTGATATGGAGAAAAATTCAAATGGATCTCTAGCTTGTACCATAATTTTAAAATGCATTATATAATTGAGGATTTAAATATGAAACCACATCCTTGTTATCGCAAATATAAAGTAAGGGATACATTACTAACCCTGGAGCACTAAAATTTTTCTTAAACAAGAAAATCTATTTAAAGTAAAAATTAATGGATTTGACCACATTAAAATAAGTGTCTTTTCTTTAAAATGTACAATAAATAAACTTAAAAGCACCAATATATATATAATCTAGGATTGATCAGTGTCCAGAATATACATAAAGCACAAAGCAATAAGAATGCAAATTTGGGCAAAAGTTAGAGTCATTTCACAGAAGAAGTAATTAGGCAGATAAATGCATTAAAAGTGTTTCATTTTATTACTGATTTTGTTGTTGTTGTTAAGTGCTGTCAAGTTGATTCCCACCCATAGCGAACCTCTATAGGGTTTCCAAGGAGCAGCTGGTGAGCTTGAACCACCGACCTTGCAGTTTAAATGACTTTACAGTCTTATACATTAGCCCATATCACCACACCAAGCCTGTATTACTGATTAGGAAAATGGATAGTAAAATGAGTTTTGAATATTTCATATTTTGTAGGTATCAGACTGATAAGAATTAAGAAGTCTGACAAGAAAAAGTACTAGAGAATGAGGATCAAAATAAACTCATGCAACAGCCTTGTGTTTAAAAAATGGTACCCCCTTGTAAAGTTGAGTATCCCTGTATTCATGGCCTTTTTTCTTCTATTATTGAGTGACCATCCTAAGGAAGCTCATGCAGATGCGCCCCATGTTGACTCTAATTTGAAGAAGCAGCTCTTCTCCAGTCATAGGTGAAGTGTTTTACAACCTGGAAATTTCCTGTTGCAGCACAATATAAAATAACATTCTGCTGCTGTTCATAAAGTCTTCAGTGAGTAATCCTTTAGAAGGGGACCTATTCCTTCTTCCTGGGCTGTCTTTGTCCAGAAGCTCCACTAGAATCTGTCCATCTTGGGCAACCCAGCTGGTATTGGAAACATCAATGGCATAGCTTCCAGGATCATAAAGACATGAAAGCCACCACAGTTTGACAAACTATAAGTGCTACTAGAACACTGAAAATACAAATCAAACAAACTAAAAGATGGGCAATGAATTTAAAGGATATTTAAAAGCCTATAGCACTGTAGGATAAACACTGGACTGAATACCAGAAAGTCCTCAGTTCGAGTTCAACAGCCCCTTGTGGAAGACAGATGAGGCTTTCTGCTCCCACAAAGAATTACAGTTTCAGAAACCCTATATGAGGTCACTATGAGTTGGAACAGATTCTACAGCACTTAACAACAGAAGAATATATAAAAAATGATGTGCAATTTTATTAAAGTTTAAAAAGTATACAAATTTTCTAAAGAATGAGTTTCTTTTAATATAGCACATTTGAAAAATTGATCATTCCAAGAAGAAGTATTTTTCTGAGGAGATAAACATTCTTTTATGCCATTTGAAGAAGTATAAGTTTATACATTTTTAAAATGAAGTCGGTAACACTACCAATATTTAAAGTATTTAAAGTAAAAGTCCAATTTTTGAGAAATATTTCACCAGAAAAACATTACAGAGACCTGTAAGAACGCTTATTGCAAAATAACACACACATATCCTGCAACCTCCCTGTCTATCAATAGTTTACATATGTTGTTACTATTGTTGTTGTTGTTGTTATGTGCCGTGGAGTCAGATCCAACTCATAGCAACCCTGTACAGGGTTTCCAAGACTGTAAATCTTTACAGGAGCAGAAAGTCTCATATTTCTCCCGCAGAACAGCTGGTAGTTTCAAACTGCTGACCTTGCGCATCACAGCCCGATTTGTAACCACTACACTACCAGAGCTCCTTTGTTGTTACTGTTTGGTGCTGTGAAGTCAGTTCTGACACACAGCAGCCCTGTATCGAGTTTTCAAGGAGCAACTGGTGGGTTTGAACCACTAACCATGTGGTTAGCAATCCAGTGCTGATCCCACAGTGCCACACCAGGACTCTCATTTTTATATGTAGCTCGCAATAAAATGCTATCAAACCATAAAAAAGCATGGTGATTTGCAGGCTGACACGAAAGTTATTTACCTATATAATCACATTTAAAACCAACATGCATGCTGACCCGAATGTATGTATATACTTTTAATTGCATATATGTTTTTAAATATGTAAGACAATATCAGTACAATATAAAAATAAAAACTTTGTTTGAGAAAACAAGACACATCTGGAGAAAAAGTCCAAAAGTTATTTCTGTAACATACTTTAGGTTTTTTGTTCTTAAGACCTTTTGGAGCCAAATAATACGGGATGTGAGAACTAAAGAGACGAGGAGACGGGCGAGTGTAGTAGTCCATTTTTCGTATATTATACTCAAGGAAAGGAGCTCTATCCATTGTGTCCACATTATCAGTTCTGTTACGATGTTCCTCAAAATAAATCAGACTTAATATCTGCTGAGTCCAGATTGTACCTGTAAAGATAAATAATCTTCTTATAAACTCAGAATTTAAGTCTACTAGAGAATGTAGAGTCATGTCTTCCATCTCTCACTGTCCTTTTTTGAACTTCTCTATGTAGACTCTAAAATTTGTCCAAGTGTTATTTTTTTGTTTGTTTGTGATTTTGTTTTACATTAAACATTAAAATTAATAATATTAGAGAGAGGTGGTAAGATGGTTGACTGGGCCAAAAAGCGGTACGGACTCTCTTCAACAAAGATACAAAACCAAAATAAAGAGATGCAGATCATAGTCCTGGAACTCTGAGCTTCAGTTGAAGGGTTAGAGAAGTGCAATGAATGCTTGCTAGATGAGAGAGCTGAGCAGGTGAGGCAAAAAAAATGGAGAGATTTCTGACCTATTCCAACTGACAATCTTAAACTTTTGTGAGGATTTCATTGATAAGAAAACATGAATGTGTTGTGGAAACATACCTGTAACTTGCAGAGATAATGGTGCAATTTTTGCTTTTCTTCCCTTGTTCTCCACACTTTCCTGGTGACCACAGGTGAGGCTGGCCCCCACCTACGTATACCCCAAGGAAGCTCCTGATCTCCCAGAGGTCGGGGCTCCATTGAGATGAGTGCAGTGGCTGTGGGTCCCATTAAAGGAAGGGAGAGCTGTCTGCATTGACCTGTTCACACTGGCCCTGCTCCAAGTCTTCAGAGTCGGCCCTGGCTAGCCTTGGACTAGCTCTCACTAGAAGAAGCAGCTCAATGCAGATGTGGGTGTTATGGGGTGGGGAGGAGAAGAAAAGAGATAGGAAATCTGTGCCAGCCAAGCGGCCAGTCGACCAGCCATGATGTGGGTATATTGAACTTCTGTGGGTGACTCTAAAGACAAGAGGGCAGCAGGTAGCACAGAGGTATAGGGCTGATTGGTGGAGAGAAAGAGGTGAATTTCTTTTTCTCTCATATCCCACATTACCCTGGTGACCAGAGATGTGGCTGGCCCTCATCTGCATACACTATCAGGGAAATACATGCTCTCTGGATTGTTGACATTGTATCAAAGTGTATGGGGAACTAGCAGTACCAACCCTGGCATTTAAAATCAGATGCAACCTATTTCAGACCTGCAGAGATCATTCTGGTCAGCCCTGGACTAGTGGGATTCACCCTCAGCCCTCCAATGGGATGGAAATACCCTGATCCCCCAACTGCTTCCGTAGTCTACAATAACTACTTCTGGATTGGTGCCTAAAACAGGCAACACCTAAATCTACAGGAACTCCATCAAGGGGTATTACCATCTATGACATTAGATTCTTGGCTGGCAAGATACTCCAGAATTTTCTTCTTTCTGGGTCTGTTACCAACCTAGTTAAAGAAAATATTTCTTTCTTCTTTCTTTCTTTCCTTCTTCTTTCTCTCTTTCTTTCTTCTCCCTCATCTTTTCCCTCTTACCTCCTGTCCATTCTATTTTCTGTTTCACTTTTTTGTGCTCCCCCCACCGATTTTCTTTCTTAACCACTGCTTCTTCTTCTTCTTTTTTTTTTTTTAATTCCTCTTTTGTGTGTGTATTTTAATACTCTCTGATATTTTTCCCTTTTATTGAATTAGTGGGAAGAGTTAGTAAAAGTAAAAGAAACTAGAGTACTAAAAATAGAGAAAGAGAGGTATTAAAAAAACAAAAGAAGAAAGAAAGAAGCAGCAACTGTTAGAAAAGACAAGCATAAAAAGTGAAAGGGGAGATAGAAAGATTAGAAAGCTATAGAAAGAAAGCCAAGGGAGAAAAAATAAACAATAACAACAACAACACCAATGAAACTACTCCTCTTTCAGTTTGTCACACTGTGGTGGCTTGTGTGTTACTGTGATGCTGGAAGCTAGGGCACAGGCACTTTAAATACCAGAAGGGTCACTCATGGTGGACAGGTTTCAGATGAGCAAAGGCAAATTTTTTCTGAATGTTTAGCCCCTAAAAGCTTATGAATAACAGCAGAACATTGTCAGATATAGTACCAGAAGATGAAAATATTATGACCGCACCAAATATTGTCAGACATAGTGCTGGGAGACAAGCTGCTCAGGTTGGAAGGCACTCATATGACTGGGGAAGAGCTGCCATTTCAAAGTAGAGCTGGCCATGAAGACAAGAGTGGAGTAAAGCTCATTAACTACTGGGGCACAACTCAAAATGAAGAATAACAGCTGTAAACATCCATTAATAATTAGAACATGAAATGTATGAATTATGAGTCTAGGAAAATATTAAGTTGTCAAAAATTAAATGGAATGTATAAAACTTGGGCTGAAATGGATTGGTGTTGACCATTTTGCATCTAATAATCATATGGTTTACTATGCCAGGAATGACAATTTCTGGAAATATGACACCTCATTCATCATCAAAAAAATATTTCAAGATCTATCTTGATCCCCCCCCATCCAAAAAAAAAAAAAAAAGCTAAAGAGGATAGAGAGAAACACTGTAAACTGATGATATATAGCGGGGATAATAATCAATGTAATGAAACAAGCTATATGAATGGTTGAATGTGAAACTGATGATGTGCCCTGTAAACTTTCACTCAATGCAAAATAAAAACATTTAATTAAAAAAAAAAAAAAAAGATCTATCTTGAAGTATACTGCTATCTGTGAAATGATATCTACATGCCAGTTAATAACACTATTATTGAAATATACACACCAACCACTAAAGCAAGTGTTCATGAAATTGATTAATTCTATCAACACATGCAGTCTGAAATTACTCAAACATGTAATCAAGATGTATTGATCATTACTGGTGATTGGAATGCAAATGTTGGAAACAAAGAAGGATCACATTTTTATTCATATAACCTAGCATCTCATATTATTTGCTCAGCATAAAGTTTGACTAACAATGGTGAAAAAACCAACCCTGTCTCACACCTTTCTTAATTTTATACAATCCAGTGCTCCAATATTCTGTTTGAAAAATTGCCTCTTGGTCCATGTACGGATTCCTCATGAGTACAATTAAGAGTTCAGGAATACTCTTACTTCCCAATGTTGCCCATAGCATGTCATGATCCACACAACTGAAAGCCTTTGCGTAGTCAATAAACACAATAGAATGAGCGTAAAACTGATGTTCTCCCATGTAAACTGTCACTCAATTCACAATAAAAACTTTAAAACAAAAAGCAGTTATGGCAATACTAATTTCTTATAAAATAGACCTTAATTAAAAACCATCATAAGAGACAAAGGAGGAAATTATCTCATGATTAAAGTGTCAATTGAGAAAAAGTATATAATCACAATAAATAGCTATGTTTTCAAGGAAAGAGCCTCAAAATACATACATAAAACTCCAATACAATTTAAGAAAGAAATCAACAATGCTTCTATTAGCATAGTGATTATGAATCAGGCTGTGAACCACAAGGTCAGCAATTCAAACCTACCGGTTGTTTCTACCGAGGTAGAGAGATGAGGCTGTCTACTCCCATAAAGCTTTACAGCTTCGGAAACCCTGTACATGGGTGCTATTGATCGGAACAGACTCTACAGCACGTAACCACCACCACCACCACCACTATAATATGATTTTAGTATACAACTTTCAATAGAGGATAGAACAACTAGAAAGAAACTAAACCAAGACAGAAAAACTGAACAACAAAATCAATGAACATGACATTAAAGATTTATACAGAACACTCAATCAAACAGCAGCATAATATGCATTCTTTTCGAGTTCACTTTGAACATTCTTCAGAATAGACCACATGTAAAGCTATAAGCAAGACTTGGTGTCCTGGTGTGGCACTGCAGGTTAATGTGATGGACTGCAAAGTTGTTTTGAATCATAAGGTCAGTGGTTCAAGCTCACCAACCACAACTCAGAAGCCCTATAAAGGGTTGCTATGTGATGGAATCAACTCTAAGGCACTTAACAACAACCCCAACTAAGCAAGTCTCAATAAGTTTAAAAAATTTAAAAACTTCAAAGTACCTTTTCAGATCACAGTTCTCCTAAAATTAGAGATCAACAGTAGAATAACAATGAAACAAAATCAAATACATGGAAATTTAATAACACCTGCTGAAAATGTATTGTGTAATAAAAGAAAAAAATGAAATTCTTTGACTCATATGAGATTGAAAATACAATATATCAAAATTTTAGGACTCAACAAAAGCAGTACTTAGACCAATTTATAACATTAATGCACACATCTGGAAAAAAGAAAGAACCAAAGTTAATGCCTTAACACAATATCTCCAACAATTAGAAAAGATCAGCAAATTAAGCATACTGTCACTAGAAGAAAGGAAATAATAAAGATTAAAGCAATCATGAGTGAATTAGAAAACATAAAAACAATAGAATGAATCATTTAGTCAAGAAGTTGGTTCTTTGAAAGGATTAATAAAATGACAAATGATTGGCAATTCTCACAAAAGAAGAGTGGGCAAAATGCAGATAATACCCATAAGAAATAATGAGTGATGTCACCACAGAACCAGTGGAAATAGTAAGGATAATAAAATAATACTATGAAGATTTGTACTCCAAAAAAATTTAAGTCTAGATCAAATGAAAGAATTTTTAGAAAAACACAACCTATGCAAACTAACATATGGTGAAGTAGAAAACTTGAACAAACCTATAACAAAAGGATAAATTGATCAGGTTATTTAAAATATCCCAACAAAAGTATCTGGACACAGATGACTTCATTAGTGATTCTGCCAAAAATCCAGACACAAGGTGCCCAAATTAGTACTCAAATTATTCAGAACAAAGAAAAGGATTCAAAATTCACACGTACATTTTACAAAACAAGTATAATCCTCATACCAACACCAGGCAAAGACATTACTAAAGAAGAAAAATATAGACCAATATGCTTCATAAATGCAAATGCAAAAAACTTAACAAAATTCTAGCCAATAGAATTCAACAACATATAAAAAAAAAAAACCATCATAATCAAGTGGGATTTATACCATAGATTTAAGGATCGTTTAAT